AATAATGACTGTAATATAGGATAAAAGTAGTAAAGTGTTCTGATTTTTTAAAAAAATAACTAAGCAATCTCTGTGCATACTTGCTAAAAAGGCACCTTTTCTTTTTTTATAGCTGATGTAGGGAACCACATGCTTAAGCTGGTCTTTTGCATTGCTAATAATGTGACACTTGTACCCCCATTCTTCATTAACTCGTGTCTCCATTTTTACGCCGTGTGTCTGTGTTTCTAGTGATCTAGCTTGTAATTGCAAAAATATTCTACTGTGTGTCCATTTATTTTGCATTTTTGCCAACTGGCCTTTATTTTGTTTGGTTAAAGGGACCTCTGGGCAGAGGGAGAGGATTAAAGCAATAATTCATGTCATACTGATGTCTATCAGAGATGGTTAGCTAATACGTAACAGTTTAACTTCATGAATTAATTTGAGAAAAAAAAACTCAAGGCGTTGTTGTCGGGGATAATAAGAAGAACGCAGAAGAAAAGAAAAAGACAGTGCCTCTCCAAAGTTTGGCTTATTCTGTTGACTATATGGATGGAGACCATCTTTCCGAAAGGCTCCTTTCTCTCCCTCCAAAACAGTCTGTTATGAACTGTGTGAACTGCAATTTGATGGAAATTAAACTTGCCAAGGTATCCATCCGTTGAAGCAAAATTGTCTGCCAGACAAATCAGCCTAAAAACAAAATGGTTGATACAGACTGGGAATTCTCTTTCAGTGGAAAGTTACCTTCAGAAACCTAGAAATGACGTGGCACTATCACTTCCAGCTGCTGCGGCTGTCAGTGGTGCTACCTGCTAACGTGCTTCTAGCAGAATCCCCGCAGGCTTTTCCACCCGGTGCTGGCGGTCTGTAGCTTCATGCGAATAGCTTGTCCCGAGGGTCGGTACACCCCTGATTGATGGGGAGAGGATACCGGCGGTTGCATCGTGCGGCATGCAGTGGGAAGCACTAGTCCTCTTTTCCTGCTGTGCTGGGGTCACATTTTGGCACAGGAGACCTGTGGTATAGTATAGCAATGCGAAGGTGAAGAGTTTGCTTGATGTGCTCTCCGGGTTAGCACAGGGAGTGCCGCAGCTGTTGTGATCTTTACATCTGGACCGCAATTCAGTCGGAGACAAAGAATTACCACTATTGTGACAGCCTTGATATATTCCTAAGAAAATCACAACCAGTTGCCTTTGGAATACTAAATTCAACTGAGGATCAACTGCAAGAAAAAACAGAAGAACTTTTGGAAATTTTTTTTAGAAGGAACCCCAGAGCCGAAATGGAAATACCATTTTCTTTTATTTGTTGTCACTGCAGTGGTGACAAATGAGAGATCTGCATCCGAAGACATCGTCGTGGGTGTGCCTAGGCCTGAGAATGTGTGTGCCTGCATGAAGGGCCCCCTAGCACTCTTGGTCCTAGCTGGCCGTGAGCACTGGCTCTTCTGCAATTCCCTGGGCATTTCTTGTGCATCCTTGGAATAAATAATTTTACTACCTTTGGATTTTGCAAGTACAGAAATCAGCTACAAGATTTCAGAAGCCAGTTGTCGTTTAATCGCTCTGAAAGACACAGTGTTGGTTGTTTTTGTGTGCCTATAGATAACATGTAGAGCTACTGGTATGTACACGTGTTTGTACTGTGTGAAACAGACTTCAAAATAAAACCTTTCTTCTCTGAAGCCATGAATAGCAGATGCTGTATTTAGCGATTGTGAGCTCACGAAAATTTATTTTCTTACTCTGTATAAAATTTGGAGACCACTAGATAAATCAGTCTTCATAGTATAAACTGTTCTTTTTAATATAAAATAGTGAAGAGCTGAATAAATTATATTTGTTTGAAAATTTCCAGTGTGTCACCTATCCTGAAGTGATATATTCAGCCAAATATTAATGAAAACAGATGAATTTCTGGTCATTTCGGCTATTGTGTATATTGTAAATATACACATTGTCAAAGTCTGCCTTTCTATATGTGGGTAAAACTCCTGCTGTGTAGTGAGCATAAGCCATGTCTGCGTGTATCCGAGCCGGATTCGCAATACATATAGGTCAAGTAAATGACTTGTGAATTTACTTCAGTGAATGATCTTTGGTAGATATGCAGAAAATGGATTGCCTGCAGGGGTAATACATGCTGGTTAAATGCTAGCTGTGTATCATTCCAAAGCAAAAAGCACGTGGGGCTTGCATTAGCCATCCTGCTGTCTCCTGTACAGCTAGGGAGGCTTGCTCCAGAGCACGCTCTGCTGCCAAGTTAAGACACCCCCAGCTCACACCTCATGACTGTCGTGTAGCCCTTTTCGTACCTCCCCATGTGCTCTTTAGAGATCTGACATATTTCTGAACATGCATACTATACTGTTCTGGGAACTCAGTGAGTAAATTAATATCATGATTTTAGCAGACACCATCTACTCAGAGAATTGTGTTCACCGCAGACAGGAATGGAAGGCGGTTGCCCCGCCTCTGTACGTTCACATCACAGTAGTGAGAAACATGGCACTGAAATGGAGATAGCTGTCCCCTAGCAACTGCTTACCAGTTCGGTAAGTGCAAAGTGCTGCACAGAGTTAATAGCTGATTTTAAAGTAAGTAGTGAGTGTAAACGTTAGGTTTCAAATAATGTAGGCTTATTAATTCTGGTCATTTAGAGGCGTGATGAACCTGAATTTTTACTGTATCAAAGATTTTTAATCACAACACATTGTTAAGATTTGTCCTTATCTTCATCTACCCAGGGAACTCCCATTAATTTTAACTGGAGATTTGCATGCAGGTTACGGGGGAAAGAAGATTTCTTTGTTCTCATACTTTCTGCTGAGACAATCTGCAAAATCAAGTTAACGTTGAAGTGAAGTTAGAATAAAATAAAATTGGAAGCGGGGAATGTGTTATCTAAAATATATTGGATTTTCCAAGTACTGTGAATGCAGTTGAATTTGTTATTAGATATTTGTCCAAATAATGAGCCTTACACTGAGGCTCTAAAGTCCAGACCGAAGAATATAGAGCTAATTTTGACAAAAATGCTTTATATTAAAGATTGTATATATAGTAGTTTAAATGACTAAAAACAAATGGGTGCATGTTTATTAATTACTGTACAGAAAATCTTGTCATTCGGTACACTCTTATTAGTGCTAGAGCACTGAACCTAACTCTTCCATCTTCAGTTTTTTAGCCCACGAGACTTTGCTTTGATACAATTGAATTGCCATATATTTTTAAAGAAAACCTATTAAGGATGCCTGGCTTGTTTTCTTAGCTGTAACAAAAAAGTGTTTTGTTGTGAAAATATATCTGTTTTCCAAAGATGACCGACGTTCATCATCCTACCCTTCACTACCATTTATTTCACTTCACGTACCTGTAGGTTAATGTAATAAAGTTTCTGAAGAAAGACGGGTAACGTTTCGGAGTTTCTTCCTTTATTTTTAATTTGCTTAGGATGGATCTTGAAATGGCATGGGAAATACAAAAATCGCTGTCCTTGCCCGCGCTGGACCACCAAGCAATGTATTAAGTTTCCCCCCTTACAGAAAGCAAGTAGTTCATGAGATGCTTTGCGGAAAATCGAGGCTGATTTTGAATTGCTGAACTCCTGCTACTGTCAGTTCATGCAGGAATTAATTCTGTAAGCGGGGCAATCCTTTCAGGCTTTAACCTTCAGAAAGATGGGGAGCCGAGTTGCCAAAAGCGAGGCATTTACCGTTTTTAGTAGGATTATGGCCTCGGATTAGCCGTTAAAAAGCCAGTAGCCAAAGTACAGGCACGGCGTAAAGGAGGAGAACATCTCGTAATTTCAGTTCTGTAACTCTGAATCTAAAATTCTGCGGTTCCGTCCCCCAGCGACCGGCAAACACGGCGGCGGGGGCTGCGCACTGACCCCC